ATGTCTGCGGACTTACAACGCTAGAAACCGGGTTTCGATACCCGTGGTGGGCAGAGCACAGATAACCCATTGTGTAGCTTTGTGTTTAACTTCAAACAAACAAAGAAACAGTATTTATCATCCTCTTGGGTAGCGCACTTAAACAAAACACAATTGCTTTTGTTGTTGTTTTATAATTTTGTTTCAAACTTCACGGGGGTTGTTGTTTGGAGTATGTTATAAGTTTGAGGATAGAAGTATTACTGTAGTTTATCCCACTGTGTAGGGTTGAGTCAATGCGGTAGTTAGTAAGTGAAATCAAATGAAGATCTACCAGCGGTTGAGGGTTCAACTGCATTAATTATATTCATTTCTAATTACCAGGATATGATTTTAACACAGGGACAAATGGTCGTGAAGTGTAGCATTTAAATGTGTAACAAAAAATATTCAGTTTAATAAAACAACAACTAAAAACCAAATTATTTTTGGATTTTAATATTATTTAGTTTGTACATATTTAGAACGTAGTTTCAACCGAATGTACGGCTTAGAAAGGTTACATCAAGAGTGCTAAGAGTCATTTTAACACTGCAAGCAGATAATACTAACAAAGAAAAAAAATAAAAGAAATTCAGAAATGCTGCCACGAACTGAAAATTACAATACGATTTGTTGTTAATATTTGGATTGTTGGTCCGAAAATATCGTCTTGAAAAATGATGAAGTATTATTATATTATTTTTATGTATATTGTTTACCCATGCGATGAATCATTTTATCTTGTAAGTTGACAGACTTTGCTGTTTAATTATTTTATATTCGAAAATCCCTTTGAATTTTGAAATCTGTTGGTTGCTGATCTACGCGCATAGTTTTCTGCGCTTATTTAGAGCGTTCACGTGAATCGCGCGTTTGTACACGAGTCTCTCACGTGAATAAGGCGTTGTAAAAAGAAGCCAATCACTGATATATCCTAGACGGTGTGTCATATCAAGCCTCCTGTGAAATATCAGGGATACATGTCGCCGTGTTCTTCCGCGAATATAAAAAATATATTTTATCGGTTAACCAGTTATATACCTTTAAACGATATCAGTTTGAAAGGTAATATTTTTAAAAACTTAAAACAATAATTGTAAATAACAGTAACCATCATACTACTGAAAGAAAATGGATTCTAAAGAAGAACTAGATGACTCTGCAAAACCAGCCAAGCCTCTCGATTAATGACGTTTGTAATGCGTCATACTTGCTATATATATCTAGGATACGCGCGCGCCGGTAGTGATGTCGGTTAACTGAATACTGTAGTAGGTAACATCATGACTGCCACACAAGATACTTTGGGAGAAAGGCCTGTTGAAAAGACAGAAGCAATGAATCAGGTAAGTAGGATTCTATGTAATAATACTCTTACTATGGGGACACTGGGGGGTTGATCAAAGTGTGAATTTAACCTTTTGCCGTTCCAACGCCAGGTCAAGCTGGACGTGCTGCCGGTTCAGGCCAATGAAAAGAGCAGCCAGCTAGGCCAGCAGACAGCAGAGTATATTTTTGAATGTGAACCGGAATTAGATCCATGGGCTCTGCCTGAACTGATGGACCAAGGGGTCAAGTGGTCAGGTAAACACTTGTTTAAAAACTTCCTGTCGGGTCCGTGGATACTTTCCTTGGTGGTAGTTGATCTGCTTTGTTCAGCGTGTATGCTTTGCTGCAAAGTATACATTCTATAACTAAGTAAAGGCAGATGCGTGCGTTTCAAGCTCTGATGTTAAAACCAAGACTGATAGATCATAATAATATTTTTTATTATGTTCTATGTTAGTATAAGTACGTATGAAACTTTATGTAAAAGAGAAACAATTATTTATCTCTGATGCTTGACCAAACAACACGTTCATATGCTAACATAAACAATAATTATTTGAGAAGTACAATGGTATGAATCACCTATAATCTCAGTATATCGGGTTGACTTTTACCTTTGTAGGTTCTAGATTATATAACCCACACGTTTTCTTATAAAAACGAACTTCCAACGTACTTGCGTCTCGTATTCAATTCCTTAAGAGTAGAACATTTGTATGCTAACTGCTTCTCTGTCTATTTGAAAAACAAAATTTATATACATATATTTATATGAGTATAATCAAATATAAATGTTAAACAGTGATATATTCGAACGAAACCTTGAACGCCAGGGACGCTACAAACCCGGTTTTAAGCCTTTGGTGATTTATTTGGAGGAAGTCAATTTACGTATCATTTAGTACCTGAAATACAAAATGTCTTTGCGTTCGTTGATATATGATTTACACTATATGTATATATAGGTTTCCTTTTTAAAAAATGGTTATCTTTAAGCGATATTGAAACTCCGAGAAGCGATTGAGTCGTTAAAAATGGTATTTACTGGTTATTAAGGTGCTACTATATATTACAGTATCGTTTCCAAATTTATAAAACCAGTATATTTCAAAATGTCTAAAGAACTTTTTTTACAAATGATTTTCAGAAATTAGTTTTTTTATTGTATTAGGGCTAGATGCTTGAACTAGCAAAGAAAATGCTAATCGACCGTTCGAATTACCTCAGTATTGAATATGTGCAGATCTTTGTCGAGTTGGCAAGCTTCCCAGCAAAGCGGTTTATACCGGTACCGAAGCGTTGTTGAGAGTATGCATTGCAGGCAAATGACAAAAACGTAATGTCCGTCGCTCAAGGCAGCTTGGTTGATAGAACTTGATAGTTTGAAGAAACGAATTTTCGAAAGCCACAGTATTTTGCGTTAATTATAGTTTTGTTTCAAAATATAATCACGAATTAAAAATAGGATTATTTTAACCAATTGGCTAATTCAGTCTTCTGTTTTGCTGAACACTTCCCCGTCAACTTTGTATACTTATTTTTTCGTGGGTATTATTCAATTTCAACTTCAAGTACGGTTTGAAATGACGGTGGCTGAAAAAATAAAAGTATTGTTAAATGAAATTTTAAGTTTTCTTTAATATCATAAACTGAATATGGAAATTATTTGTTATTAGTGAAGAGTACACTACAAAATGTACCCATCTAATAATAGAAAATTAACACGGGAAAGTTACTGGCACGTGACTTTTTTAAGCTTCTTTTAAAAAGGTAAAAATACATAAAGCTTCGAAAAGGGTTGAAATATATCAATATCCTCGAATATGCGGGAATTAGAATATGGAAAAATAAAACGGGCCACCAGGATTTATCGACTGGATCTGATAAACGTTTAATGCGTATTTACTCTGATAAGCTCTGCAAGTTATCATGTTTATCATTATAGGTGATTGGGTGCACATTTTTAACTTTAAGAGCAAAATAGTCCCAAATTAATAGTACACGTGGACGAATATGCTAACCGAATTCCATACTTGAGGTCCATTCGTAGTAGCCATAATATCGCGTTATAACGATCTGGTTATTATGTCTTTGGTTATTCTGGGTACTTAGTAATTTTGTTTTTAATCGTATCAAACTGTACGTACACCATCACCTGCTAACATTGTTATTATAACCTTGTGCAACTTTCTTGGACTGTTTGTAAAACGATATGGAAACACCATTTTTGTTATAGGTGACCTGCAGATAGCCTGTTCCCTGTTATACATTTTAATCTCAATGTTTTATTTTATTCAGTGATTGCTTTCAATAAAGATATATCTATTTCTTTTGTTTATACAAAGCGCGTGTTTTACTAGCGTATTTTTTTTTTCAAAATTACTAAGGTTTAATAAGTTCCTGTTGGTAAAATGGTAAACCTGACTGTACCTTTTTTGGTGTGTGATCTTCTTTTTGATAGAATATGTTTGACTGTGATCTTTTGCAAAAAACGGTATGTTTGATTTATCTTTGTGTGTTTCTTACCGGTATAATTATATGTTAAACTGTGTACTTTATTTCTTGAATAATGTACGTTTCACTGTATCTTTGTGATGAAGTAGTACGTTTGACTATGGTATATTTGCCTTTCCTGTTGTTGGTAAAAAACAGGAAGTTTTATTATGCTCATTCTGTGTTTTTTGCTGATGAAATGAATATGTTCCTAATAGTGAAATATGTTTGATTATGTATCTACTGATAAAATGGCATATTTCACCATTTATATGTGCTATCCGTTTCTGATTTGTATCACTTACCAAAACTGAGATGAGTGTTTAATTTTTTTATTACAGGTATAATGAAATTTCATTCCAGGTAAGTATAAATAAAATCTATTTTGTGGACCTCTGCTATTGTTTTTTTTTTTTTGTATTGTTTGAGAGCTTTTACATGACCAGGCTAATATATATAACATTTTATACTGAAAGTAACACTTGCATTTCTGTTAATCATTGCAGAGCTCTCCAGGTCAGGCAAGGTCCTACGTGTATTCCAGTCTCTTGCCAAACTTGGAGCCCTCTTGTTGCTGCTCTACTTCTTCATCTGTTCCCTGGACTTTCTCAGCTCTGCATTCCGTCTTCTTGGAGGGAAAGTAGCTGGAGATGTACTATCCAAAAATGAGTTACTATCCAATCCTGTTGTGGGCTTGATGATTGGAGTTCTTGTTACGGTATTGGTGCAAAGTTCATCGACCTCAACATCCATTGTTATTACCATGGTAGGGACTGACCGTAAGTATGAGATAAAATTAATATTCATCTACATATTGTTATTTTATTTTATTCTAATTGATATGATAACTTTTTTAGCTATCTGAGTGGAATAAACTGCCACACATCTGATCATCAAGGAAACGCAAAAAAATGAATTGGCCAAAATAAGCATGGTACACGGGAGATATATTAATCCAACTTACCATAGAAGGTTGTAGAAAATTATTACTTAAGTTAACTGTAAAGATCATATTCTTGTGTTTTGATGGTATTAACTTATTAACAATTCGATAGTTTGGCGTATCAAGAATAAGATTTTATTTCCGTGGAAAAATGACTTCTGGTTAAGATTAAACTAAAATGGAACATTTCTGAGGTCTGAAAAATCACGTTGTGTTACAACTTATAATACAAGAACAAATTTGTTTTATTTATGCAGTGGTTGAGGTTCGAAGTGCCATTCCAATCATTATGGGAGCAAACATTGGAACTTCCATGACTAACACCATTGTTTCGCTGATGCAGGCATCAGAAAGAAACGAGTTTCGTAGAGCTTTTGCAGCTGCAACTGTACATGATATGTTCAACTGGTTGACAGTTATTGTTCTTTTACCCATAGAAATCAGTACAGGTAAGTCTATAAAACTGAGAAAGTAATAATTGATGGAACATAAAGCATCGAGATATATCTATGAAAAAAACAAGTTGTATATATTTTTTTTTCCATCTACTTTAAGAAATACAGTCAGAACAGACACAAATATCTGTTGAACTACTGAATAATGATTTAGTAAATTATTAGAATTCACAATATTTTGTAGATGTAAGTATCAAAGCCTGTGGGAACTAATTCAGAGTCTTAAATGAATTAAACATTACAAAGTTAATACTTTAGTTGCTACTTCTGGACATACTAACAATTTATTAAGGAAAATTTGATATCATAAACTCCCTCAAACTAGGTTGTTTTTTTGCAATGAAATCTTAAGATCTGAAAAATTGTCTGTATAGTCTAATAGTAACAAGTATCAACTCTAGAGCAGTGGTTCCAGACATTTCTCACTTCATGAACTGTCAAGATTTTTGTTAAAAGCTTGTGGACCATTAGGAGTATATAGGTTTGTAATGTTGTTTCCTAACTTAGCTACTTCAAGAAGCTTTGAAGTGAAAGTTATAAGGCTCGTTTATTTTACAATGAACTAAGAAGGAAACAACACTTTTCTCCCATTCTTAACACATGTAAAAGTTATATATTTCACAGAAATTGAGTCTTTCACAACCAGCAATTTAAAACCACTGTTCCAGAGAACATAAATGTATTTGATTATAGGTCACTATCTGCTTTATATCATTTTTTATTTATTAGTATGACAGTCTCATTAAACATCGAAAATTAATCTTTTTTGCTATGCATTTTATGCTTTATATAACCTTTGATGTTTTTGTTTAATATCTATTACCTTGTTACTGCTTTTCCAGCGTATTAACTTATTTTACACTAACTGATTAAATTAATTTTTAGGTTACTTGTATCACGTAACGAATGCCATCCTTAAGAGTACTGAATGGGAACAAAACAAAGATGCAGATCGTGACTTTCTCAAGAAACTTACAAAACCATTCACAAAGACCATTATTCAGGTACTTATATGAAGCAAGTAGATAAGAATAAGCAATTTATCTCCACCATGTCATGCGTCAATTATGGTTAAAGCTTTTATTTTGTAAATCTACAGAATATTCCAGAGTAAGACACCATTCTTTCTCTCTGAAATATGATTTGATAATGCCAAATGCAAATTTATAATTAGTATTTTTTTATTGCATAATATTTTGTTGACTTACTTACTAATTACTGTTAGGTAATTACAGGATTGTAACTGCTAATTCAAAAATTGTAATGAAATTAATAATGGACAATTATAGCTGATAGTTTTCTACTGGTCATTCAGTGGGTTTGGTTATATTAGATCAAACTGTTTAATTTATCATTTGTTGTATGTGTTGAAATGTTACTAGATAGTCATATTTCATTATAAGAATTTGTGAAAAATTTATACATATTGCAGTAAAGACATTAAATTTCGTTTATTTCTTATTAAATCTCATGAGTTATGAATTAAGGTATCAAACACTACAAAACAGTTCTTTTGACTTCTAAATAAACCTCTTTTTTTTTTCTCTTTAACAGCTAGACAAAAATGTTATAACAGCTATAGCCAACAAAGATGAAACAGCCAGAAACATGTCACTCATAAAACAATGCTGTAAGAATAATGGAACTGACTGCATCAGTGAATGTAAGAATTTTTATATGACTTTTAGGAAAGTAAAATCATATAAAAGAAGTGTAACTATGGTAATGGCCAGAATCTAAAACCTTAAATATGCTTAAAAAAACTGCAAACTTTGGTGGAGTTCTCATCCTAAATAACCCTCATCAGAACAGAATATCTGATTGAAAATATTAAGTTCCACATTTGTTTTCAATAGTGTTTTAAATATTTTTCTGGATTTGGTAACAAGGAGGGTTTTTTTTTCCTATTTAGTTTTCTTAATGTGTTGCCTTTACTTTAATTATCTCTGAGGGACATGACATTCAAAGATCAGTATGGTAAGAGAGGAATTATGATGTCAGATTAAGTTCTTGGCTGGAGGTAGTTAATGTTAAGTCAAGTCAGTAGTTTTGACCAATCATTTGATGGTTCTGCAATGCCAGCCTTTGTAATCTTAAATTTTGACCAAATTCAGTATTTAAATAAATAGACAGGAATGAATAAGAATAGTATCTAATAGAATATATCTTAATTATTTTAATAAAACATCACTTGCATAAAAACAACCCATCCACTCACTAATAAAAATTTACCATTTGCCTCACAATAATTATATAAAGTTACAACACTTTTTACCATTAGCAATAATAAAAGTAGAATAATTGATTTGGTCTTTGGAGAGTAACTACAGGTAAGTGTATTTTCATAAAGCACAATCTACCTGTTATCTTAATTACATTTGACTGTCATTGGACACAACTAGCAATGCTTCTGAAGCTTGAAATAGATGAATCTTATTCATATTCAGTTAATCATGTTAAACAACTTAGTCTATGAATAAGACATATACAGAGGATTGAGTATATTATATGAAAACTACTTTGGATCCTCACCAAATCGTAACAGTACTACTATGGTACAGTTGAATAGCGTTTTAGTTAAGTTTTTAAATTATTGAAAGTTTAGTAAATAACGTTGCAACAATTTTAGATTTTATATCCTCTAACTTTGGAATTTGCACCCTTCCTCATTTATGATGTGTTTCCATAAAAAAGTCTACATTTTATATCTATTCATCCATGTAAGGTTTATTAATTTTTTATGTAAGAAATAATAACCAAGTTGCACTTCAGTTGTTAAAATATTTACATTTCAGTTCAAGTATTTTTCATAAAATTTCATGATTCTTTGAAGTTGTACTAAACGTTACTAATAATCTTAGTACATGACATAGCTGTTATTCATTTTTAATAAGTAAATTTCTTTGAAAATATTAAATTATTTATTTCATCATGTTTTATTTCATGTGTCAAAATTATATGATGCTATAAAATTATTTTTCTGTTTTTCTTATGATCATGAAATATCAATTGATAATTCTTTCTTTTTTTTCAGGTAAATTTCTCCTTAAAGGTTTGAACTGGAGTGATTCGATTGTAGGGCTACTTTTGTTAGCAGTGTCACTGGTTCTTCTTTGTTCCTGCCTCATTCTACTTGTTAAACTTCTTCATTCCATGCTTAAGGGACGCATTGCTGTTATCATCAAGAAAACTGTTAATGTAGATCCACGTTTCCCCTTCTCCATGTTTGTAGGTTATGTTGCAATTCTTATTGGAATGATCATGACCATTCTGGTTCAGAGTAGCTCAATTTTTACTTCTGCACTTACTCCTCTAGCAGGTATAGGAGTCATATCTCTGGAGAGGATGTATCCGCTAACCTTGGGTTCCAACATTGGTACAACAGCAACAGGGATTCTTGCTGCACTTGCAGCAGACAAGGGACACATTCGAGATACGCTCCAACTGGCCTTCTGTCATTTGTTTTTCAACATTAGTGGCATCCTTCTCTTTTATCCTCTCCCATTCATGCGATTTCCTATCACTCTTGCCAAGCTGTTGGGTAATCTAACAGCGGAATATCGATGGTTCTCCATCGTTTATCTCCTCCTAATGTTTGTCTTTGCTCCTGGTATTGTATTTGGTCTGTCATTGGCTGGCCCAAATGTTTTACTTGGTTTAGGTCTCCCACTTCTTTTGTTTTTCTTTCTTATCATTGCAATCAACATTATTCAGCGCAAACGCCCAAGTCTCCTTCCATTATTTCTGCAGAACTGGATGTGGCTTCCAGAGTGGTTGCATTCTCTGGATCCCCTGGATCGATTCCTTACAAGAATTCTCAGATTGTGCAAATGTTGTAGTTGTATTACTGATGCAACCAGAGCTCATGATGCCAACATTTTACCCATTCCACCGAACACATCACAAATAAACTTTTTAGATACACGACGATCATCTTCGGCATCAAGCGACGTTATTGCATTACATGGTGTAGAAAATAGTGCACATGGTTGGAATGATAATAAGTCATTGGCTGCAAGAAACACTTATTTATGAAACAACTCTCTCTTTAAATGATAATAAATAAGGGCCAATTCTCATAAGATCAGAAGAAGAACCTTCAGCATCTTTTTATTGTATGCATGCATGAATGAGGTAATAATGTTTACAGTTATTAAGCACAAGGATGGAAAAATATCTACGACATAGTATGGATGGATTATTTTATTAAATAGGATTTTGGATTTTACTGAAATACTGTAAATAAGCAGATTCTTGAGTTTTCTTTTATATGTAAAGTTTTGAGTTGCTTTTCTTTTATTGATTTCACTTTGAAATGTTATTTAGTGTTGCTATATTATTATTGTTGCTCAATATAATGGTTTGATTTGTTCGCTTGGACAAATATCTAAATGCTACTGTTTAATTGTGTCATTTGTACAAAAAAATATAAATTTATCGTTGTGATTGGCTGAAAGTACATGTTCCTTACTTTTCTCATGAATAAATTATTACATTTAGATATATCTTAGAAAAGTTATTTCTAAAATTATTCACACCATTTGGCTCTGAAGTTTTTATAATCAAGGATTATAATAATGATGTAAACATATGTAACTCTAAGATAATTCTGCAGCCCATAGTGGAATGCTGCTGTATCAGAGATAAAAGTGTTAAAATTAACTGTTTAAAATAAAATAAATATTGACGATGCCGTTAAAATTGTTGTAATGGGCGTTATCGCCAGATGTCGCTTATAACTGTAAAACCTGTTTCAGAAAAGCACATTTTTTCTTAGTCTTAACTTAAAATTTCTGGACGTTAGAATAATTATGATTTATATTCGGAAGCCCATAATATCTGAAACATAGAATACTTTAAGATGTAATTTAAGCATAAAATCGTTAATTTCAATCGCTAGATTTGTTGTAACCACTCCTTGGCTGTTTGTCCAGATTGTACAGAGCTGTATATATATAGTGCGATAACAATTAATAAGAGTAAAATTGTATATTTCTTTTTGTACTGTTTTTATTTCTAATACGATTTCAATTTTTTTTTTTTTTTGATGGGGTGGGTGATTTTATAAAAACTTGTAGATGAATTCTGCAGAAAAGAACCATTCGTAACAGTGAATCATGTGCACAGGTTCAGTTTGGAATTTCGCGCAAAGCT